GACGACTGCGGTGAAGTATGGTGAAACAACCCCTACACCCACCGGTGGTATGGCAAGAGGCTTTACACTATTATTGTTTGTTGTTGTTATTATGGCTCAACGGGACTGCCCGCGTGTCTCAGCGGTCGAGAGAGTGGCTGGCAGTCGAAAGATTTCCAATTCAACTCCTGGCTCAGCCCACAATTCCTCTCTCAGGGGGGGGGGGTCGATAAAATTAGCACCAATTTGTGCGCAAATCACCAGTGGTTGCCGTATGGATATGCATCCTCACCGCCATAGAAACGGGTAATGTTCGCCACTGGCTCTTCCGCAACGGAAGCTCGGCACCAGCTTGTCTCAATGCCCCATTTGAGTCGGGAACCACATTTGACTTTTGACCACTGCAACGGCGCCAGCTATCGCCAACCAAAGTGAGACATTGAACTCTGGAGACGGCTTTTCTTGGCACCTCTTCGTTCACCAAACACACACAGTGAGTTCCGCTGGAGTCGTCGAATGTTCGATTGCTTTGTTGCTGCTGCTGCGTGGTTTTCTTTAATTCCACTTTTCATTTTCCTTTTTACGCTCCGTGCCCGCCCACTCCCCCCCCCCACTACGGATGGATTATTTTTTTTTCCTCCAATAAAATAAAAACAGAACGGCACGCACAGGCTCCAGCAGAATTGAGAAATGAATGTATCTCTCTCTCTCTGCTGCTCCTCCTCCTACGCGCGCGCGCGTGCGTGCCACTTATCGTTCGGAACGGGCACGCGGAGCTAGCGCCACGGTGAGAGAGAGAGAGAGCGAGAGACGCTGCTGTAAACCCCCACGCGATCGGCCACTTCGTTGAGCTGTCATTTGCGGCCGAGTCGCGTCTCAAAAAAATAACTAATAGCTCAGCGGGCTTTATTCTGGTGCTATAGAATAAAACATAGTTTAGTTTCACCACATTTATTTATTAGCGGAGTGTTTACCTTGACTCTACTTTGCACTAGTACCGTTCGTTTCGTTGCATTAATTGTTGCAGCGTTCTGACCCGCCCCTACTGGACATGTGTGCAAAATAGCTTCATAGCTCATCGGATTTACCCTCCAGGCTCACTAAGGGTTCTGACTCTGAGTCACGTTGTGATAGCTGCCGGTGGTTTGCCACGTGTTTCTCTACCCGAGAATTAATGCCTCCCCCACCCCCCCCCCCCGTCCATCCGTGCGTTCAATTCTTCACGTGGCGTCTGCTTATCAACACCGTTGCTCTGCATTCCTCGCAACGAACGCTACTGATGAGAAGTTTTAGCTTCGTGTTTCCCTACCGAGTAGAAAAGGCAAGAAGCTCCCCCCCTCGACGGCGACTCGGCCGGCAGACCGCATCGAAGAGTTTCCCACGCAATTACGGAAGTTTAAAAACAATAAGTAATATTTAAAAATACTTTTTTTCTTTAAACACGCTTTAATGAAATGCACCGTAGTCGTAATGGCAGAACTCCACTGTCTCGAGGTAGTGGCCCCGAAATTTGCCATAACGTAAGGGGGGCCGTGGTGATTTACAGCCAACGTCAGTTGAGCGTGGACAATTAGACCCAAGCCGAAACATAACATAAAAAATAATGTTAAATATATATATTTTTTTATTTTTAATGATAGAATATAGTATTGTAATCAGTATGACATGAGTATACCAAGTTTGCAGTCGATACCACATTGGGAAGTGGGTTAACATTGAGTTACAAGATTTTTGATGATACGTCGACAACAACAACAGACACAGTGAGCTAAATAAAATCGTGTAAAAAACAGAACTTAAACGTCCGTGATTTTAATAAGAGTCGGCTTAAATGAGGATAGAGGTGACAGAATGGGAATGCCAACGTACGGCCACTTCTGTGGCCGCAAGAACGTTGGGAGGCAGCTTGAAATTTCGTGCGAAATCTGGGAACTGTCAATAGACTTCTTCAGACGCAGATTTTATTTTCGATTGCGTTGTGCGTCATATAATGTTGCGTAGAACCAGGAGCCACATCTTCATGAGAATGTTCCTTTGCTATTGAAAGATCCGGCAGTTTGCCAGCATCGATTGGAGCAAGCCTGGGCGACTCTGCTGATGAGACATTGGATGCTGAAACCGTTCCCGAGTTGTTTGTTTTGCTTGGGTTGAATAAACGGCGGCTACATTTAGATTTAAAGCTCTCGTGACTGCAGGGCTTCATATTCTTGTTCCTTTCGGTAAAGCCACGTAGAAGGGAGATGATAAAGTAATACAAAATAAAACAATACAATTCTCACGACGTTTCGATTGCAACACAAGCAATCATCATCAGGTGTGACAACCACAGCAAGAAAAGAAACGTCGTGATAATTTTATTGTTTTATTATTTTATTATTTCCCTTCTACGTGACTTTAACGAAAGAACCAAGAATATAAACGGCTGCTGTTGCTGCTGCTGCCCGTGAACGTACGCGCTCCCAGAAGTCGACGGAGCCCAATGGAGACACAGAGAAAGAGAGAGGGGAGAGAGAGATATTTATAATTCTAAAGGAGATGTTCTCGTCTAGCTCACCGTGCGTCAACTGGAGTCGCCAATCAAGTAAGACGCGTGACGAGAAAGAAGAAGGCCATCCCGCGAGAGTCGGAGAGGGGGGGAAGAACGACGTCTTCGTGCATCGTCATGGGGAAATACATTAAAACTAAACGACTGCCACTCACGTTCTCGCTCGCTCTCGAGCCTCACTCTCTGGCTCGCTCGTTCTCTCGCTCGTGGGCGGTGTACAGGACGAGGAAAAAGACGCTGCAAGGTGACACTGACGGCTGCTCTGTGCTGCTTCCAGTGTTCAGGGGCCTGCTCAAGGCGCGGCTCCGGCTGGAGCACGCCACGTACCACACACACGTGTCGGTGATGTGCAGCGCGTCTTCTTCGAACGCTGGTGACCCGGACAAGCCCCTCTCTGTACCAGCGTGGACGGCACCCCACGTGTTCACCTGCTGAAGCGCTCGCTCGTCACCGTGGCGTGCACGATGACCACCACCACCACCACGTGACTTTTCTTTCGTGTTGTGCGCGGTGCATTTAGCGCCACAGCGCGTGGATGTATCGTGTTTGTTATTTGTGTTGCTGGTGACTTTGTGTGTTTCATATCGGAATCGCCTCCAGTGCTGTTGCTGCTAGCGGCAATAAAAGTTGTTTAAAGGTCAAAAGTCTCTCACTCTCTCACTCTCTCGCTCTCTCACTCACTCGCTCGTTCTCTCCGCGACAACGTTCAGAATCGCCGAGTTCCCCGCACTGAGTGAGTGTGGGTTTGGTGGAAGTAAGAGAGAGGGAGGAGCGCGAGACAGTGAGTGACTTTTGAATTTTTAAACAACTTTTATTGCCGCCAGCGGCAACAGCACTGGGGGCGATTCCGATATGAAACACACAAAGTCACCAGCAACACAAATAACAACAAACACGATACATCCACGTGCTGTGGCGCGAAATGCACCGCGCACAACACGAAAGGAAAGTCACGTGGTGGTGGTGCTCATCGTGCACGCCACGGTGACGAGCGAGCGCTTCAGAAGGTGAACACGTGGGGTGCCGTCCACGCTGGTACAGAGAGGGGGGCTTGTCCGGCTCCCCAGTGTTCGATGAAGACGCTCTGCACATCACCGGCACGTGTGTGTGGTACGTGGCGTGCTCCAGCCGGAGCCGCGCCTTGAGCAGGTCAATAGATAGAGAGGGAGAGAGAGACAGTTGGTAAATGTTCATCCATCAAATATATTCATCGCGCGGTTGTTCACTCGTACCAGCTCTCGTGCAGTGTGGAAGAAACGAGGTCCATATGGATGCACAGACGGTCTGTCAATGGGAAATTAATACGTTAGTTATTTAATTTGCATGCTCATCGATTGATTAATTGATTCCTTCTTTAATTGTTAGGCCATCGAACAAAGGCGCTCACGCCATCGCGCGCTTTCAAAATGCGCTTCTGCGGCCGTCTGGAACGTTCTTCCTTCCGATATTAGAAAGACACCGGAGCGATTAACTTTTAAATCATCATCATCTCGATTGTCAAACTTATATATTTTTTAAATATATTTTTGTGTTTAGTTTGTTGTCCTTCCCCCGCACCTCCTAGTAGCACGGTTGGCTACGTACGGGTGCGTTAAAGCTCTACATGCATACGCTGCACGTGGCCAGCAATTTAGCACAATGGAGGCAGCGAGGGTTGGTGGATTAAACAAATGTTATGAACCTCCCTTCGCGTGGCCGTTGAGAAGGAGCCGTACCCTGGGCTTTGCCGGGAGAAAGCGGCACAGCAAAAGTGCGTGCTGATGTCATCTTTCCCTTCTGTACAGGGGGGGTAGAGCGTTGCGCCCTCGCACGCGTGGATTTACTTCTGGCGCTCCGGTTTCACTCCCACGTTGTCGCACAATAAACGCTCGCTAATTGCAGAGGGCCGCAGAGCGAATTGTCGACAGCTCCGGCTCACACCGCCTGGCAGCCTTCCAGCTCGCGGGCGTGGTTCCTTACTCAGCGATTGCGAGATGCGATACGAGCCAGAAGTAAATGTAACTCGAGCCAGAGGCGCAGAGGCAAGCGAGGCAATATTCGAGCGCAATTAATCCCTCTCATCGCTCCGCGGAGGGCACTCGGGAGGTCTCTTCGAGAGACATCGCAGCAGAGACACACTCACAACCGGCTGCCATTCACGTGTAGAAGTGAAGTCTCAGTCCTCGGGGGGGGGGGCGGGGCGGGGGGGGGGGGGGGTCACTCCCTCCGCCCCGTTGGGTTGATTGGATGTTAAAGTCTCCAGCTGGGAATGTCACTCCCCTCTATCCACACCAAGAGGTTATCTTACTCTGCGTCTCTGCCCCCCTGTACACTGCGGTTCTGTGTGCGTTGACTGTGATGCGTGTCTCAACTCCGTAGCGCACCCAGTACATATTGATAGACTCTCTCTCTAAACTCAGCCACTCGCTCACCTACTCACTCACGAACCTCCCCGCTCCTCTGCCCCTCTGCATCCCTCCCGCCGGCGTTCTTCTAGCGACGGCTGGGCCGACCGCTACGAGGTGATCGACGGATTCGAGGTGGAGGCCGTGGGAGGCATCACCATCAAGCTGCAGTCGGCCAAGGTGAAGTGGTTCGACCAGCACTACCTGAAGCTGCGGCTGGACACCAACAAGCACAACCCCTGGTTCGCCGAGTTCTGGCAGCGCCGCTTTGAGTGCCGTCTCAAGGGCCACGCGCAGGAGAACGCCGCCTTTCGCCGCCAATGCACGGGTGAGGCGTGGCAGCGTGGCCCCCTCTCGCGCCATCGTCCACTCGCTCACTCACTCGCTCGCTCGTCTACCCACTCGCTCACTCACGCACTCACTCGTCCACTCATTCACTCGCTCGCTCACTCGTCTACCCACTCACTCACTCACACACTCACTCGTCCACTCATTCACTCGCTCGCTCGCTCACTCGTCTACCCACTCACTCACTCGCTAGTCTACCCACTCGCTCGCTCACGCACTCACTCGTCCACTCATTCACTCGCTCGCTCGCTCACTCGTCCACCCACTCACTTGTTCGCTCGTCAACCTACTCGCTCACTCACGCACTCACTCGTCCACTCATTCACTCGCTCGCTCGCTCACTCGTCTACCCACTCACTCGTTCGTCTACCAACTCATTAGCTCGCTCGTCGGCCTACTCGCTCACTCACGAACTCATTCGTCCTCTCATTCACTCGCTCGTTCACTCGTTTAAGCACTCACTCACTCGCTCGTTCGTCCACGCACTCGCTCGCTCGTCCACTCAAGCACTCACGTACCCATCCACTCATTACCCAATCACTTTACCCACCTACCCTCCCACTCACTCGCCTACCCACTTTAAATCGCCCACACACTCGCCCACTCACTCACCTACCCACCCACTTACTCGTACACTCACTCACTTACCCACCTATCCACTCACTCAACCACCTTGCCACTCAACTACCCACTCACCCACCCACTCATCCACCCACCCACTCATCCACTCACCCACCGACTCGCTCATGTGTGCAGTGCATATATGTACACCGACGGTTAGTCGCCTTCTTGTTACTCTTCTATTGCTACTCCCATGGGCCAGGCTTGTTATCGCTCCTGCTACCTTCACTCGTTGATTCCTATCACCTGCGCTGAGGGCCTAGCCGATCAGTCGGCACTTTTCATCTCAACCACCTACCCAGTCGCTCACCCAGTCAGTCACTCACCCAGTCAGTCACTCACCCAGTCAGTCACTCACCCAGTCAGTCACTCACCCAGTCAGTCACTCAGTCAGTCAGTCACTTACCCAGTCAGTCACTCAGTCAGTCAGTTACTTACCCAGTCAGTCACTCAGTCAGTCACTCACTCACTCAGTCATTCACTCACCCAGTCAGTCTCTCACTCAGTCAGTCACTCACCTAGTCAGTCACTCACCCAGTCAGTCACTAACTCAGTCAGTCACTCACCCAGTCAGTCACTCAGTCAGTCAATCAGTCACTCACCCAGTCAGTCACTCACCCAATCAGTCACTAACTCAGTCAGTCACTCACCCAGTCAGTCACTCACCCAGTCACTCACCCAGTCAGTCACTCACCCAGCCAGTCACTCACTCAGTCAGTCACTCACCCAGTCAGTCACTCACTCAGTCAGTCACTCACCCAGTCAGTCACTCACTCAGTCAGCCACTCACCCAGTCAGTCACTCAACCAGTCAGTCACTCACCCATCCATCCATAGAGTACTCGGGTCAGTGTGGAGTTGGCAGTTGAGGTTCCCTGAACGCAATCATCTCAGCAGGCTGTTTAAAATGAGTAGTGCATTGTGGGCGAGTCAACAGCAGTCGCCCTACGGGGAGACTTGATCGATGCGGAGGTAACGTGGAATTACCACCAAATGGCTCAGGGCTTCACCAACCGGGAGACGGGGCACTGCCCGGGTGTTCACGTTTGCTCGAAAGGACAGAATAAAGATTCAACTTTTTTTTTTTAAACCGAGTCACAAATGCGGAAGAGGAGGCATCATCGGAGCGATGATGGATCCACTCCGTTACTCCTAAGGCAATGATATGGGCTCAGCCACTCCAGTGTAGAATCACATCCGTTGCTCTATACAACAACATCATGCATCCAAAGAATACTGCAGAGATCTAGAGACTCACACCGAGGCCCGTAGACTCACACAGTAATCTGTAGATTCACATAGAGACCCACAGAATCACACAGAGACCCATAGTCTCACAATTAAACCCATGTAATCAGACAGAGATCAATATGAAGGAGGCATCATCACAGGGCGGATCCACCACTGCACCTCAATGTAGAATCACAGGCGTTGCGCTCCATCGACATCAGCGGCCGTACAAAGAAGACCGAGAAAGGGAAATTAAAACAAAAAAAATCGCCCTCTTACGTCCATTACATTCAACCTGCTTTCTGCAAACACGCGAAGCGCACTCCGGGTGCAGAAGAACAACAACATAAATCGACAAAGAGATATCCAGACAGAGAGGGGGTGACAACAGACAGACGGACAGGTAAACGGGGGCACGAGGCGGACACCCTCGCTCGAGTTGACGAAGTCCCGCGGTTAAACCCGCGGTTCACCAACCTGTGGTGCACGCGGACCAATACAAAGACAAAGACAAAGATCCCCCGTATAGCCTTAACAGACTGTAGGGGCAAGCACTGTTAGCGAGCACCTGTGAAGGCTGGAACGGCACACGAGCGGAGTGGATGGCCAGCACCACGCCCGACCGCCTTTGTCTACCCAGTGGCGATGTTTACTACACACCGCACCAGGTACTCATTTGAGGCTGAGTCGACCTAGGGGAGGCCCAGGACCGGTTCAGATAATCATCACTGTTGTCGACCGTGAGCGGAAATCGAACCCGGGTGGCCAGGTTCATAGCGCAGCGTAGCGCTAACCGCTACACCACCGCTCCCCAATACACCACCACCACGTGGAATAACCTACCCCTTGTACACGAAGCAGTCCTCCTTAAACATCTTCAGTGCCTCAACCCCACCTTCCTTGCAGAAACGAATACATTTCGATATTCCATCAACGTCCCGAAAATATTCTCGTCTCCAACTGCTCAGCGTTGCCAGGTCGAGCATGCGCTTTTTTTGGTGATTGGCGCTTTTGGTAGCGTGGTACCACAAACTATGGAACGCCTTGTCACTTGAAAACCCATCACTTTAAAGTGATTTTGTTTCCTGCTTTCAATGCATTGCGCATTGGCATCGTAGGATGGAATGCGCATTACACATTTGAATTACTGTTAAACCTCCTCCTCTTCTCTATTTCCCATTCACTTCCTCTCCCCTCCACCTCGCCCCTCCACTCCTTCCCGTCCCTTTCCCACAGCCGTTCCGTGACACCCCCCCCCCCCCCCCCACCTAAGTACCTCTCTATCGCTGTCACTCTTTACTCAATACCTTGTAGCACTGCCACCCCCCCACCCCCCACCACCTAAATCGTTCCATCCTGCCGAGTCACCGCTTTCTGGGAGCTGTGTCAAAGCGCCTCGAGTGAAGACCGCCAGCGGCGCCCTTCCTCATTCCTCTTAAGCGTCTTCTTCTTCTTCTTAATCCTCTTATTCTTATAAAGCTTCTTCTTAAGCTTCTTCCTCGCTGGCTGGCGGGGACGCGTGACTCCAGTCAGAGCCAGGGAGCTGAAAGGTAGCGGCAGGCGGTCGGCGGGCGCGCGACAAGGAGCCAAATGAGCAGCTCCGTGGAGCTGACGGGAACTTGGCCCCGGATCCCGTCAGCTCCGCGTGACAAACCTTACTGGTCGGCTGCGTCGGGTGGTGGCTTGGTTAGCGACACATTTATGCTTTCGCGATCTAACGCACAGACCCTTTGGTGTGGATAATTGCGGTGATTAATAAACGCACGCGCGCACGCGCAGCCCAAAGCGCTGAGCGGAAGCAGACAGACAGACATGTGGGGGGTTTAAGGGGGGGGTGCTTCGCGAATACCTCGCCTGGTATGCAGGAGGTCTTGGGTTCGATCCCGACCCTGACGCCAGCTGTATATCTGGAGATTGCGTGTCTCTCTCTCTCTCATCATCATCACGGTGGCTAGGAGATGTTAACTACCTCGCCTGGTATGCAGGAGGTCTTGGGTTCGATCCCGACCCTGACGCCTGTTGAATATTTGGAGTTTGCGTGTCTCTCTCTCATCATGATCACGGTGGCTAGGAGATGTTAACTACCTCGCCTGGTATACAGGAGGTCGTGGGTTCGGTCCCGACCCTGACGCCTGCTGCTGCTGCTGTATATTTGGAGTTTGCGGTGTCTCTCTCCCCGTGGTCGCGTGGATTTTTCTCCGAGTCTTCCGGGTTTTTTTTCCAACCACATTAAGAATCAACATCGCGCGTTTCCAGTTTTTTGTCTGCGTGCTTTACATTTCCGACGACGACGATGATGATGATGAGCCACTTCGCTGAGCCATCGTTTGTGATCGCCAGTTCGCTTCTGAAAAAGAGCCCCGTAGCTCAGTGGGGCCTTCAACCGGTGAAATAACAGCGAGGGCAGTGCACGGTGAGGCTCACGAGCGAGCGAACTCATTCCCCGTGCAAAGGAGTTGGGGTGAAGGCGAGGGGGCGGAGGTGCATCGGGTCGGGTCGGGCGGGGCGTGGTGTGAGCCCTCCGCCTGCGTGTGTGAGCCCCGGGCGACCCCTGGCTATCTCAGGGGGGGTCGCTAAGTGCAATGGAGAGGCCAGGCGCTGCATACCGAGTACTCTGCCCCCCTCCCCCCCTTCCGCACTCCCACTACCCCCCCCCCCCCCACACACACACCGCATGATTCCCTCGCGTTACGCGTTCACACACAGCGCGTGCGCTCTGCTGGATGTTCACACCGCGAGCCGTAGACTCACCTGACGCGCCACGGTGGCTAGGAGATGTTAACTACCTCGCCTGGTGTGCAGGAGGTCACGGGTTCGATCCCGACCCTGACGATACCTGCTGCTGTATATTTGGGGTTTGCGGTGTGTCTTTCTCTCCGTGGTCTTGTGGATTTTTCTCCGGATCCTCCGGTTTTTGCCTCCACATTTAGAATCAACATCACACGTTTAGAGTATTCGGCTACTGATTTATATTTCTACACGATGATGATAAGCCACTTTGATGAGCGATCGTTGGTGATAGCCAGGTCGCTGCTTCTGAAAAAGAGCTACATTGCAACTCACTGGAGCCTTCACCAAGTAAAATAAAATAGTTCAGTTTGTAATTTTAGCCAGACTCGGGGGCCACGTG